TTCTTTTTTTGTTCACATCGAAATTATCATAGTCTGACTGCAATAAACACAAACATGCATCACAAACAAAATATCACACTGTTAGAGCAGTAACTGGAAGGGGAGAAGACCTTTGCAGCGCGAATGGATTGAATGTTCGATGTGTCCATTTCTTTTTGAAGATTCTTGGAGCGCATTAAAAAGCCGGCCCAACTTACGTGCATGAGATCCCCAACCAAATCCAAATAGGAAAGCTGCTGCTTCCATACGAAGACAGCTGATCAACTTCTTTGTCATAAAGTCTCAAGGTCGTAGAGGTAGTTACGGAACACAAAATGCTATAATGCAAAATCCTGCCCCAAACATTTGTGCGCCGTGTTGTTTTATTAACTGGAATGTGTTCTTATTCCAGTGTTTTTTACTTTTTTTTAAAGTAAAGAAAATCAATTTATGGGAATTTTGACTGGGAATGATCGCAAGGAAAATTATGCCTTGTGGTAGACTCTCTAAGTGTCATAATTTAAGAATAATTTCATCATAAAACCGGAACCAAATTAATTGGAAGTCAAAAAATAAGGATTTTTTCAATTCTGTTTATAAATATAGATAAGGTATAAAATCTGCCAAAGTACGTTCTGAAGATTCGAAGTAAAATTAGCGCAGTATTATCAACAATATCAAGGCTATCGAGAAACCAACTAAGAAGGATCAGAAGGCAGCGATTTTTCCAGAATGCTTGCATATGCCAAGCATAGCTGTGACAGGCTCTTCGATCCTGACTTGCACATCATGAAGATAATAAACACCGCTTTTTCAATATATTTATACCTATCCTTCGAGGGCTACGTATTTGGTTTTATTTTTCTACTTTTTTCCGAATACAGTTCATATGCGACGTTTGCTCCCTATTAGCAAAACGAACAGCACGTCCTGCCCAAAGGAGATGCTTCTTAGTTAGAAGCATCTGCCGGAAAAGACAGTGCCATTAGCAACAAAAACCTGCGGAAGAACTGTGCAAAAAACGCATCTTCGCACCGGCAGCCGTTCGCTGTCGACTAAGTTATTAGCACTGCCACACAGTGACATCTGACACTCCGCTCATAC